GGCCCCCGGAGCTGCCCGCGGTGGGCGGGCCGCGGTTCTCCGCGCGTAAGAGGCCTAAGCCGTAGGCGGACCTGGCCCCGTGGCCTGCCTTTCCCCACGGCGTTCCCGAAGGGCACGGTCGTTGGGGCGCAGAACGTGGGTTTCCCGGGAGCGGGAGGCCGCGGCGGGGTTGCTTGAGGACCTGGGCTCTGCGGGGCTTCACGGGGCCCTGCTCGCTAAGTGGCCGGTCCCGAGGCGCCTCCCTCTCCACAGGGCCCGGTGAGACCGCCAGGCCGAACCAGCGACGGGTTGGCGGGCAGGCGGCGGCCACGCGCGCACCCGGAGCTGCCCCGGCCTTCGCGGGGGACGTCTTTGGAGGCTCCGTTCCAGAGGCTGGGAAGGAGGCCAAGGCGGGAGGCTGGAGGCCCGCAGGCCTGGGGAACCCTGAATTTCGTTAGCCTTTCTTTTCGTTTTCTAACTTTTAAAAATATATATATACNTCGGCCCTGAGCTAGCCCGGAACGCCAGCCGGGAAGGTCATGAGCCAGAGCGCCCCGGGGCGCCGCGGGGAAAGCAAGCGAAGATAGCGGCCTCGCGTTCCCCTGGCCCTCGCCGCCTTGCCGCGCTCTCCCCGCGTCCCCAGCCCCTTCTGTCCTTTCCTGGGGCCCCGCCGCCGCCATGGCCACCCTGCTCCGCAGCAAGCTGACCAACGTGGCCACGTCCGTGTCCAACAAGTCCCAGGCCAAGGTGAGCGGCATGTTCGCCAGGATGGGTTTCCAGGCGGCCACCGACGAAGAGGCGGTGGGGTTCGCGCACTGCGATGACCTGGACTTCGAGCACCGACAGGGCCTGCAGATGGATATCTTGAAAACCGAGGGCGAGCCCTGCGGAGAGGAGGGCGCCGAGCCGCCCGTCGAGGGAGACATCCATTACCAGCGCGGCGACGGCGCGCCCCTGCCGCCCTCGAGCTCCAAGGACCAGGCCGTGGGGGCTGGTGGCGAGTTCGGGGGCCACGACAAGCCCAAGATCACCGCGTGGGAGGCGGGCTGGAACGTGACCNTGATTTCAGAGAGAGGAAGGGAGAGGGAGAGGGAGAGATAGAAACATCAGCGCGGAGAGTCATTGATCCGCGGCCTCCTGCACGCCCCCTACTGGGGATCCAGCCCGAAACTTGGGCGTGTGCCCAGATGGGAATGGAACCCTGACCTCCTGGTCCGCAGGTG